AAGCAGAGTCAAGTGGAGCACGTCAGGAACCAGGACTCAGATCAGCCTGAGCCCAGCCTGTGTCTGTCACACAGTCCCCACTCTCCTGGAGGTGTGACATATGTCACTTCACTGTTGTCACTGAGACTTTCATGCTAGGCTAGATGTGAATTTTTGAAAAAAAGAAAAACCAAAAAAAAAAAGAAAGAAACTTTGCAATCATACACATCATGTCAGATTTGTTCCTGGCATGGGGAAGACGACCAGCCTCTGAGAGAAAGACTCAAGAAGTCTTTGTTCAGGAGATGGGCACACCTGGCTTATTCTGTGCTTCAAGGATAGTTTGTTGTTGTTTTGGGGGTTTGTTTGGATTAAAGCTAAATAAAAGCAAATAATGTATCAGCGAACCATTAATCTTTTCACCTAATGTTACCCTTCCTTTGGATGTTAAAAATTTCTTTGACCACGCTCCTGGGAGTGTCAGAGTGTATCTCAGTCTCTCAGTTTAGAATTTTAACACTCAAAAAGCTGAGGAGCAGGAACTTGCTCCAGCCCCAGATAAATCAGGCTGGCAGCCCCGTGGCCCCAGTAATTCCAGGGCACTGGAGGAACAGATCAGTGTCCTGGAAAGTTTGTGTCTCCTCCAAAGTCTGTATTCTGCACAGATCCACGCTCCACGGTGAAGCAGATCTTTTACAACAAATCTTGTGAGGCAAACCTGGGTGCCATGAATCTGAAAAGCCAACCTGTCAATCCAGAGCCAGCGTGCTCATTTTCCTCAACAGCTTTCAAGGACATTTACCATAAATCTGTGAAAGGAGAGCTACTTACAGGTCTGGGATTTATAGAAAGTGCTGCCTATTTGTGCTCTGTCTTCTGTCAATAGCATTAAGATTTGCAGTTTGCACTGAATTATCCAATGACCTAAATCCTAGCAAGCTATCAAAATCTGTTTCCCAGATAAAGTCATGCTGGAGTTTGATACATTTATCAGTGCCAGACACACGGCACTGCTTACAAGCACGGCAATTTCTCAAGTCTTCTTCAGCAGCAGACAAAAGGGAGGTACAAATGAATTACAACCTATTCACTCCAGTGGTTTAAAAATAATTATCACCCGTTGGAAACAAAGTAATACAATTCCTGCCTCCTGATTTCACACAAACTCCTGCCTGTAATGAGTTTACTGACGTCATGTAAAGCATCCAAATCTTATGCTGACAGCTCCAGAAGGATTTATTGTTCTTCCATTATGCTAAATACTTGGGCTAGATCATTGCCTCGTTATACAAAATACAATCCATTGCCAGTCAGCTGAACAGGATTGGCCCTGGGAGAGGCAGGGCTTTGCTGGGTGCCAACACCTGTGGGGACAGCCAGGTACCTCCAGCAGCAGGCTGTGACAGGAAATTGCTGTGCCTTCACTTCTCTGCAGCACCAGAGGAACGCTGCTGAAGCACCAGCAAGGCAGGTGGGAGCTGCAAGCAGCACCTTTAACATTTTTTAATGTTCACAGCTCCACAGGCTGCAGTGCTGATCCCAGGGCACGTTTCCAGGGGCCAGGACAAGGACCAGGGCATTATGAATACAACAAAGGCTTGGCTGTACACTGCATTTTCCCATCCTCTCCAAGTGGGAGGATGAATCCTGGGATAAACTTTGCTCCCAGTTATTTCCTAGGTGTGTGGGAGGGTCAGTGCAATGACAAAGAGCTGCTGGCACCCTACAGGAGCTGCTACAGCAAAAACTCCATCCCAAAGCTGTCCTGTAACACAGACCCACATCACACACAGCCCAGCCAGGGACACTTGTCTCCCCTGGCATGGTGGCAAGGCACAAGCAGGTCTGTTGAGTCAGCAAGGGTCAGGGGACTCTGAATCCTTCAGAGAGAGATCAGAGTGCAGGGATTGAATTAAAGCCCTTGGATGGATTGAATATGTTAAGCCTCTCACACACAAGGCAGAGGTGAAAGTTTAGGTTTTACTATGAGTAACTAACTAGATGGAATGAGTAAGTGAATAGATGGAGTGAGTGGAATAAGTTTTAAGTGCTTTTAGTGAGTAAAAGGTCTTGGATGCCTGAGAAGTAGCACATGTACTACATGTTCTAGTGAAGGCTGAAAATCATAGTGGTGTTTCCTTAGAGGCTCCAAGAACCCAGCTTCAGATACAGTAGAGTTATAGTAAGAATATTGCTGACATTTTTCAGTTAGAACAAGATAGGCCATGAATGTCATTTATACGAAGCCTGGTGTGCAAAGAAACCAGAATTCTAATAAGTTAAAGAGTAGTGGTCCGAGTTTGTGTCTCAGCTAGTTGGAAAGTTTCTATATAAAAACATGAATTAAAAAAAGCTGGGGCTCTATGCCATGGCTTTATGCCATGCACATTTTGCCACCTGCATTTTACCACTGCTTTTACTATTACTTTATGCCATTGCTTTTATGCCATTGCTTTGTTTTTGCCTTTAAGACTGATGTACTTCTGTAATAAATAACTTTATAGTAACTATTAACTTCCTTAACTTTTTCAAAACCATAACCCGACATTATGGGTGCCTCAAAGCACCCAGAAGTCCAAAACCTCACAGGTCTGCAAGGGGATGGAAGCTCTTTAAATTCTGCAGGAGCTGGAAT